ACACTCATTATAGGAGCAATGAGGGTGGGCTATAAACCACCTCTTTAACACTGCCTGCAGGTCTCCTGCCAGCTCCTGGTGTGAGAGCTGGGGGTGTGGAGGTGGGGTGCAGTGGCTGCTGGCCCAGGGAGGGTTTGCAGGTCCAGCTGTGCCTGTTCCCCTCCTTGCTGCCACAGACTGAGGGCACAGCGGGTTGACATGTCACCTCTTCTTCCCGCTGCGGGGCTTTGGGTTGGATGTGCTCCACCATGCACGTGAGAGGCTGGCCAACAGGATATGTCCCTGTTGCTGGGTGTGTCTCTGGGGGGACGTTTAGGAGACTCATGGAGCTGGGGGTCTTCAAGACGTATGTCCAAAAGAGCGGTTTTGGGCTGGGGCAGGTGCCCTGGGCAGCCCTTTCACAGCTTCTTGCAGTTGGCAAGGTGCAGCATCAAGGCCAGAGCTGTTGGGTTGTTTCAAGGGGCTCTGAAGGAGGTGAGTCTATGGGGCTGGAGATAAATGGACAGTCTGCACAAGATGTGTGAGGGTTTTCAAGCCCTGTCATTTCCCTGTCTGCACTTCAAGCCTCCAGCCTAGGCAGAGGACCTCGGTGCAGGGAGGGACGCAGAGAGCAGCAGGGAGCTGGGATAGCCCTGCTTAACATGCCCCGCACCTTCCTTTTTATCCCCAGCAGCATCTCCCCTAACATCCAGTGCAGCTCAATGGATTTTAAATCTGCAAACCTGGGACTTATCACCAGGAAGAAAACAATGCCACATCACGTCCCTGTCCTTAGCCAGGACTTTGTCACCTTCTGTGTCACCCTCCCTGCACCACCACTGCTGCCCTGCCTTGGCAGAGAGGGAACAGGGCAGCTTGCAGGTGATGGGTGATGGCTGAGATGTTGTTAGTGTCCCAACCGTGAGCTGGGTGTCCTCAGAGACCACCTGACAGTGACAGCCAAGGCAGTGGAGGGGTGTCCAGGTGCAGCAGGGTCCCAGCTCGGCAGTCCTACACCTCTCTTCTTCTGGCTAATGATCGTCTTCCATGCCCATCAGCCCCACGCCAGCACTGGGGCTTTTTGTTCATTCTGGTTTTAGCCACCTCAGGGTCTTACACAGCCGCTGGTGCAAGGGGAGGCTGGCAAAGGGCTCCTCGCTGTGCCGTTTGCTGCTCAAAGGGAAAAGTCACAGTGCTCCCCAAGAGTTGCAGCAGTGCTGGTACCACAGGGGCTTATTCAAAGATGCTACTGGCATCTCTCCACAGGCAGAGGGATGGGCTCAAGAAGGATTCCCAGGCTGTCCACCTTCCCTCTGTGGCATCTTTTCTCCCAACAAATCCAGTTTCACTGGGAGGTTGTCATAGATGTTCAGCTGGAAAACGTGCAGAGGGGAGGGCCTGGTAAAGATGGAGGTAGGGGAAAAGTAGTGTGTTTTTTCCTTCTGCTCTGTTTGCTGCCAGGGCCATGCAGAGCAGGGCTGGGGGCTGGCCCAAGGGGTTTCTGCAGGGCACAGCAGGAGATGGAAGGGTGGTCAGCACCCCATGAGCAAAGCCTGGGATGGGGGAAGAAACAGGTTTCAGTTGTTGCACTCTTTCCTCTGGGGGGGGGTGACAGCACTCCCCTCCTGAAAGCTGCATTTCTTTTTAGCCCCACCTTGAGCTGGCCACCATTAAGGGGTTTTATGTCTCTGGGGGCAGTGCTGAACGAATCCCCCAAAGCTGGGGGGTGATTTTAACCCCTCAGCCCTCCCAGAGACCTGCCTGATGCTGGTTCTTGGCTCTTCCTTCCTCCATCTTCAGCAGGAGCAGTGAAGGCATCCCCACTTCTGGCCTGGTTCCCCGTGTCCAAACATCCCCCTCTCCTCCTGGGCCCCACCTCTGCCTCAGGTAATTGCAGGAGACAGGAAGACCCTAGCTTTTCCATGGAATGGTTTTGAGAGCCCTCAGGAGTGCTGGAGCCATGAGCAGGGCATGGGGCTGTGCTGCACAGGGACCAGCTCCTCCCCAGCAAGCCCTCGCCAGGCTCGAGGGGACCATGAGGAAGAAACTAGAGATCCCCAAGCACCCGCTCCACGTCAGATACAAATCCTTCCTGAGCTTAATTCCCCACATGCCAAGGGTGCTCCCGGCACCAGCACATCGAATAAAAAAGACTAGAAAGACCCATTGCTGCCCTGGCTCCTCATTCATGGGGCTCTGCCACTCTCCCAACAAAAGCTGGGATCCATGACCCCGGGTATAGAGGGGGGAAAGCCCAGGTATCGGTTGGAGCCCAGCCAGGGACATTCACTGCCTTTGGGATTGTTTTGAAGAGCTGCTTTGCTTTCTAAAAATGAAAGGCATGCTAGAGCAGCCGGTGGGGGTGGGATGAGCATTGCTCCGAGGTTGGGATGGTGTCAAGTACCCAGCCTCATCTCTAGGGTTTTCCCCAAGCCCAGGCTGCCCTCAGCAGCTGCAGGCATGGGGAAATGAGGACAGGCAGGATGGGAGCATGCCCGCGCTCCCAGACACAGGGTTGAGGTTTTTCTTGAGACAAGCGGGGTGAGCTATGGGCATCATTTTGGGTGCTGGCATCCTCTGGTTGCTGGCAGCGTGCCGGGGTAGGCACCGCAGCCGAGGGTGTTGCTGCCACTCTCTGCAAACGTCCCCACCTGCTTCGCAGCCCCCTCTGCCCCTGCCTGGACTTCCCCGTGCAGGGCTGGCAGAGGATCTGCTGCTGGGCGAGTGCCGGCAGAGGCAGGCAAGGGGGAGAGAGCGGCGTGCCCCGACCTGCTTTAGCTATGAGATCACCCCATGCTCCCGACTTCTAAAGAGCAAGACAAAGCCATACACGGCCCCGGGCAGCTTTTGATGGTGAGCATGAGAGGCTGGGGACTCAAGCAGTCACCGATCCCCAGGGCTGCACTTGTGTGCACTCTGCTCCACAAAAAATGTTCTGGGTTCCTTTGGAAGAATTCCCATGTTGTTTTGCATGAGTCCAGGGGTCAAATCTGCGCCCCACTGGACCCTATGTGCTGCAGGCTTCCCTGGGGGCAGCTGGAGGAAACCTTTCCCGCAGGGTTTCTGCTCGAGCATCCCCCAGGCATCGGTGGAGTGTGTTCAAAGTGGGGCGAAGCAGGGAGGTTGCACGTGTCCATGCAGGGCTCTGGCCGGTGATTTACGCCCCTTGGCAGTGGGGATGCAGCACAGGGATGAGCAGTAACAGGAGCTGTGCTGCACCTGTGCTGGGCCTCCTGCTTTCCCTCTGATTTAATGTCCCAGTTGAGAGGTGATGTCACTTTGGAGGGAGCCAGAGAAAAGGAAGTGCTGGAGAAGATAAGGTGCTTTAACTCTACCCCTCCCAGTTTGGTCAGGTTTTGGAGCTGGGACCTGGGTTAGCTGCTAGCCAGGAAGACATAAGAGAGGGGAGAAAAGAGGTTGGTTAGAGGACACCTTCCTCTTTGGGCAGTGGGAGCTGACACCAGGAGCTGCGGTGATGGAGGACCTTGAATGTTCCCAGGTGGTGTGAGCATGATTTGAGGCACTTCTTTGGCTTCTCTATTACCTTTACCTCCCAAACACGTGGGGTGGGTTGTCTGCAGCATCAGTCACACCCTGCCAGAGCCTGGGTGCCATACCAGCAGCCAGGAAAGTGCTCCAAGAGGATCCGCAGGAATGCTGGCAGGGTGCTGGAGGAGGTAAATTGAGAATGTGCCAAGGCTGCCCTACTTCTGAAGGAGAGAAACTGAATGGAAAGGTCATTACCAAAGGCTCATTAAAACGTCTTGTTTAGCTGTGAAGATGGGCCAGGGATTCCCATGCTGCTGTGTCCAGAGACCTGAACTTTCATAAGGATCTCATGGGGACATCCTGGTCCCTCCGGCAGTCAAAGTTGGTCAAGCCTCAAAGTCTTCTCTGCCCTTTGGGTGATGTCAAGCTGCATCTGCTCACTCACATGACTGGGAAAACCTCAAGGGAGCCTGGTGGGCTGATAGGACCCAAGGTCCTCTCTGTTGCACCAAGCTGCCACCCAGCTGTCCTCAACTGGAGGGAAGTGAGGTTGGGCCACCACTAGCCCGACCTGGCTCTACCCCAGAGAATGGGACTGGTGAGCAAGAGCAAATGAGGATCACCAGTGGCCTTACGCAACCGTGCAGGACGTGTGAAAGCACTTGGGGTTTTCCAGCTTCCTGAGCTGCTCACCATGGAGGCAGGGCAATGCTTGCTGCCCTGCTCAAGTCAGTGGTCTTGCCACTTGAACTGGGGACTGGCTTTCAGGCAGACTCATACACACTTAGACCATGCTTCTGACCATGCCAGACACTGTGGTGATAGCTCTGGCTCAGATGCCACCTACCACGGCCCCAGCTGGGGGTTTTCTCTCAATATCTGGCTTTGAGATGCTGAAGCTGGGTATGACTGCCCAACAGCCTGGTGCAGTAAACTGGGCGCTGCTTGCTGTCACATTCAGTAAGGTCCAGAGCATGAAAAATGTCAATGGCCTGCAGGTACTGATGTGCCAGAAATCACGGACTCAGCAGGGATGGGCAGAGGGAGCATCTCTCAGAAGCCACAATGTGTAAGTGTAACCATCATGGCAAGCTTTGGGCTGACCTCCCCAACCTTTGCGCTTGGGTGAGCTTGCTTGTCGTCATCCTGCCCTGGCGGGTTTTGCTAGCAAAAAGTGACCCTGATTGTCCTCAGAGTAGTAGGCAGCCAAGAAAAGGACTTTCTCTTTTTGTCGTTTGTTTGAATGAAGTTGTGAAGAGCAGGGGGGGTGCAGGATGCCTCGCGTGTGTGTTAATATCCAGCTGCAGCAGGAAAAATCAGACCTGAGTCTTCATTCCTTTCTCCATGTGTGTGGCACAGTCATCACGTGTCTGCACTGATTAGCAATGACTGGTGGCTTTTTGCTCCTCAAGGCTCTGTTCTCAGTGTTGCAGGGTTATCTCCGCTTTGTCCCCAGCCCAGGCCTTGGAGTGCCAGGTACTGATGGTCTCAGCCTTGCTGCTATGAGCTCAATGTCCCCATTTTCTCCGCAGGAGGCTTTGCTACCTTCTCGTCCTGCTTCCCGGGGCTCTGTGAGGGGAAGCCAGCTGCCATCCTGCCGATGAGTATCTCCCAGCCATGCTTGCCTGTGGCCAACGTCGGCCCCACACGCATCCTGCCGCATCTCTACCTGGGCTCCCAGAAAGATGTCCTAAACAAGGTATGGCCCTGTTGAGGGGACACATTGGCCATCATTCCATCTGGGACCCCAGCCATGCAGAGGGGTGAGGGCATTAAGGACTCAGTGAGAGGGCCACATGTGGTCGGTCTGACCCTACCAGGAGGCTGAAGGCAGGGAGTGCATAGGCAGAGCCTGGCAGAATTGGAAGGGTGCTTGCCGGATGGGTTGTCTCATATTGATGAGCTTTGGGGTGGTCAGACTCTTCCCAAGTGCCTGTAGAAAACTCAGGGGCAGAAGGAGCACGGCTGGGAAAAACCCTGGGCTTGGAGGGGGAGTTACCACAACTGGAGGAAGATGTGGGACAGGAGCCAGCTTTGCACCCACCCGCCGTGCCAGCCAGGCTGCCAGATAACACCAATTTCAGCAGCCCTGTGATCCCCTCGGGAGCCAAAGAGAGTGGGAGAAAGCTGGGGTATTCAGCTGGGGTGTTCAGCAAGGGGCAGGGGCTTGTTCAGGAGGCTCAAAAAGGAGCAAAGTTTTGCTGTGGGGAGAGAGCAGAAAAGAGGGATAGTGCCCTTTTAAAGGTGCTGGAAGGGCTGTGCTGTGATGTCACGCCAGGGAAGGAATTTTGTTTAAAGGAAAAATAACAGTGAGAAGAAAGAAAGAGGAATTGCAGTTAAAATGCCGCCGGGCGCCTGCCTACCGCGGGCAGGAGGGAGCCAGCCAGGCGTCCTCGCCCGGGGCAGGCAAGGGGGGAGAGGGACCACGACACTGGAGGGGGGTTGGAGACAGAAAGGAGGGAGAGAGAAATTATATACAGGGAGTAGAAGGAAATGAAAGAGAAAAATGCCAAGAATGTGAGTCCGGGAGCTGGGCTGGCTCCGCCAAGCCGAGGCCGGGCTCGGCAGAGCCTGCTGGGGTGGGCAGGAACTGGCCATTGGAGAGCCAGGGCCAAAATCCTGGTGCAGTCTCCTGAGGAGCCAATGTCAGGCAGGGAAACTGATGGTTTCTTTCCCTCCCCACCTCCTCGGAGTGTTTTGTTCATCTTTTGGAGCTCTGTTTTCTGCCATCCCCACGATGTGGCCAGAAGATGCTCTATTCATAGGCAGCAGAGAAAGGTCAAGTGCAAGGCCGTGCATGGGCAATGCTTCTCTTCTCCAGCATGTTGCAAAGGAGAGATCCCACACGGCAGCTGCACACACTCTGATGTGTGGAAGGACTCTCTTATCTCCACGTTTTCTCCTCCCATTTAATTGTGGGTCTTCCCTGGCGTAGTGCAGACCAGGCACTGAGACCCGGCAGCTGGCAGAGGTGTTCCCCCACTGTTTGTAAGCAACCTGCTCCCACTTGTACAGGTGATACCTGATCTGATGGGACGAGGAAAGAGACAGGGGTTAGATGAACCATAAATTTGGTGTCAGCACCACATATAGGTGAAGCTGGTTGTAGCCTTGGAAGGGAAGAAATGGAACTTGGTGTGGATGCAGCAGTAGGCACCCAGCAAGCCAGTTCCCTTATGGACAGCCTATGGGTCAAACTTCACCCCCTCACCACAGTTTTTCATCTGGCCCTATTTACCTAAGGTCTCCCTTGTGCCACTGCATTTTACTGAGTCAGAAATACGGGCCGTGATGGCGGCTATTGAGTGGCCAAAGCAGAAGAGTCACAGGAAACAAGTCCAGGTTCACTGCAGTGTCAGAAAGAAGCAAGAGATGGTTCCCCTCACCACCTGTCTATGTCCCAACACAAGAGCGTATGTTCACAGTGAAGAATTGTGAACAACTAACAAATCTGTGAGAACTCCTGATGTGCATCTGAGGGGTGTGGGAGCAAAGACACATTGGTTAACATAGGGTGCTACCAATGACTCCCCCCACTCTGTTGGTGAGATGCCTCCTCTCTCCCGCAAAGTTTTCACCCAGAGTTTTCACCAGTTTTCTTTCCTGTAATTTCCTATTCCTCTCATACTGGGGTTCTTGGGTTTTCCCCTCTGGAACCCCCTTCCAGGTGTCTTTGGTCTCGCTTACTTTTACTTGGACCAAAGCAAAGATCTGCTGAGGTTCAAATCTGTGTCATCTAAACTGACACAACATTCTCAGTTGGTCTCTGCTGTACTACCATCAACTAGGCCAAGGCAGCAGTGGGAGACCCACAGGAGAAAATACTGGGATGGGAGAAGGCAGGGGGTGCATGGCAGGGCAGATCTTCAGCACTTGGTGCTAGCTGAACTCAGGCGATCATTCGATTGCTTCTTTCCCACCAGGACTTGATGACGCAGAACGGGATAAGCTATGTCCTCAACGCCAGCAACTCCTGTCCCAAGCCAGACTTCATCTGTGATAGTCACTTCATGCGCATTCCTGTCAATGACAACTACTGTGAGAAGCTCCTTCCCTGGCTGGACAAGTCCATTGAATTCATTGGTGAGCTTTTGTTAATGCTTGCAGACCCTCCAGTTTTCATCTTTCAAAACGTGAACCCTTCTGTCCTCCATGGTCTTATTCTCAGCAACCCTTGTTCTTTCACGCAAAGGGGTTGAGGGTTGGGGAGGGAGACTAGAGTAATTTTGTTCACCATCTCTGACTGCATTGGTGCTTTTCTCTCTGTTTCTTCCACAATGCACCAGACAAGGCCAAGGTGTCCAGCTGCCAGGTGATTGTGCACTGCTTGGCCGGGATCTCCCGGTCGGCCACCATCGCCATCGCCTACATCATGAAGACTATGGGTATGTCATCAGATGATGCTTACAGGTGAGTTTTCCCCGGAGGGCAGGGAGGGGTTACGCTGGTATGCTTCACTCCAGAGAAGAAAAGCAGGCTGAGCCCAGAAGGAGAGGGTGGGAGCTCCTTGAAGCTATGTCTTTCCTTGGCTGAGTCCTGGTGAAACCAAACCAAACCTCCCATTGTAAAGTGCATGCAATGAGGAATGGTTTGGAGCAATAAAACAGAGCAGGGAGGCAGTCCCAGCTCTAGCCCTGGGGCATCCCGAGGCCCCATGGTTCCCCAAGACCCCTTTCTTTGGAGGGTCTGGTCAGAAGGTCCTGGATGATGCCTCTTCTCCCCAAGGAGGCTGAGAGAGTAGGGGTGACCCGCTGAAGGACCAAGCACCAACCGGGGCTGTCTGTGCCTCTCGGCAGGTTCGTTAAGGACCGTCGCCCATCCATCTCACCCAACTTCAACTTCCTGGGCCAGCTCCTGGAGTACGAGAGGAGCCTGAAGCTCCTCAAGGCCCTGAAGTCAAAGGGCGACCGGGGCGAGGGGGACACCCAGCAGGACTCGGCGGAGGCGGCTGAGGGCAGCCGGCATCCCCCACCACCTACCTCAGAGAAGGCCGAGGAGGTGCCAAGAGGCGCTGGCTCGGCGTCCCCCAACAGTGACCCTGAGCGGCAAGGTGGGACCCCGAAGGTCCTGTCGCCCACCACCCTGCAGCAGGGCCTCAACGGCTTGCACCTCTCCTCCGAGCGCATCCAGGACACCAACCGCCTGAAACGCTCCTTCTCCCTGGACATCAAGTCCGCCTACTCCCCCGGCCTGCGGCAGGACCCCCCCGGACCCCCCGGCCCTGGGGACGCCCCCAAACTTTGCAAGCTGGACAGCCCCTCGGGCCCCAGCGGCCTTGGCCCCTTCTCCCCGGGGGCGGACAGCCCCGACCGGCCGAGCGGGCCCGACCTCCTGCTGGAGGCCAAGGTGAGGCAGCGGCGGAAGCACCGGCACCCGGCGGGCT